GTCCACCTGCTCCCGCACCAGAGCCGGGGCGGGGGGGAAATAAGGTGGACGGGGGAGTGGAGGAGCCCAGACCAACCCAACGCAGCCAGGGGCCCTGAAAGAGGCACAGGGCCACGTGCAGATGGGCCAGCCCTGCTGCCCAAGGGCAAGGTCACCAATGAAACGAGGCGTGGCCAGTCCCCGGGTACTCCCCAGGAAGCAACCTTCGCCCCCGACAGTGCAGTTCTGGCTCAGCCCCTTCCTCAGAGCCCCCCGCCCCCCCCCCGTGCCTCGCCCCCCAGGTGGCCCGCCCCCCGGCTGGGTGCGCGACCCCCGGCTGCCGCCCTGCACGCTGCGCCAGGCGCTCACCTTCTTCCTGGACATCACTTCCCCGCCCAGCCCTCAGCTCCTGCGCCTGCTCAGCACGCTGGCTGAAGAGCCCGGCGAACAACAGGAGCTCGAGACCCTCAGCCAGGTTGGGGGCCGCCCAGGGCGGGGAGCGGGGCTACTGAGGCCAGATGAGCTGGGGGCATTGCATTACGTCCCAGCTCCAGACTTGCTAATTCATCTCAGAATTCTCGAGGTCTGAGAGAGCTGGGCACTGGGAAGGTGCCCCAGAAAGCTGGGCTCAGGTGGGGTCAGGAAGGGAGCTGAGCATGCAGGGCTGGGAGGCTCCTAGCACCCTGCACCCTGACCCCACCCCCACCCCCCAGGATCCCCGGCGCTACGAGGAGTGGAAGTGGTTCCGCTGCCCCACACTGCTGGAGGTGCTGGAGCAGTTTCCATCGGTGGCGCTGCCCGCCCCCCTGCTCCTCACCCAGCTGCCCCTGCTCCAGCCCCGGTACTACTCGGTCAGCTCAGCGCCCAGCGCCCACCCGGGGGAGATCCACCTCACAGTGGCCGTGCTGGCGTACAGGACCCAGGGTGAGGCTGGGGAGGTGGGCCAGGGCCAGGGCCGCGCAGTGACCCCAGCATGGGCCCCTCACTCACTCCTTCTCCTCCCCCACCAGACGGGCTGGGCCCCCTGCACTACGGAGTCTGCTCCACGTGGCTGAGCCAGCTCAAGGCCGGGGACCCTGTACCCTGCTTCATCCGCGGGTAAGTGAGCACTTCGGGGGCAAGAAAGTGCCACGTGGGTGGCCGGGACGGAGGGAGGACTCGGTGGCAGTTGCACAGGGTGAGGGTGGAAGTTTTGGTGAGGGACAGGATGGGGAGCAAGGAAGACCCCCTTCACATATCGCGGGGAGTGTATGTCTGGTGAAGCTGCAGCGGAACTGGGCCAAGCTCAGGGCCTTTTACCGAGCTGGGTGCAGGGCCCTGCGCTGGAACCGCGGCTCCCATGCAAGGGGCTGGGGTTCGGCCAGGGGGCGCTGTTGCTTTTAGAAGATGTGCTGTGCCCCTCGCTGCATCTTTGGGATCCGTCTGCTGTTGGGAGGCGTGGCCCCTAGGAACTGGGCCCAGGCAAGCACAAGCCCCCACTCAGCCGGGAGGAACTGGTCAGGGTACCATGGGGTCGGTGAGGACCCAGGGTACCCTTCCCTCGTGCTGTGTTCCCGAGGCCTCGCCCCATCCAGCAGCCGGGAGCCGAAAGTCTCAGCTGGGGGGCTTGGGGGGCGGCGATGAAGAGTCCCAGGGTGGCACCAGCTAGGCCCAGCGACCCCACCCATCCAGGGGGCCAACTCACAAATAAGCCATGGCGGTCTGTTGAATGAATACAAACCACACACACCAATATGGAGACTATGATTTAAAATAAACACTCAGTGAATTCATTGGAAACCAACCCAGAGACTGTCCTTCCCTTCCCCTAGTTTCTGCATCTCCTCCACTGAGACGGCAAACCGCTCTGCAGTTCAGATCTGAACTGTGCTCCCTTTGCCCATCTTCTAGAAACCAGAGGCCCCGGGCGCTTCTGCCTGCTGGCAGAGTTCTTTTCGTAGCCACGGTGTCCTTACTGTGCACTAGCCACCGCCGTAAGCACTTGGCGTGTTATTAACTCACACAGGGACGGAAGCTGAGTTCCCCTCTCGCCACCCCTCCAGGGGCTGGGAAGAGCGGGAGCTGGGGAAGCAGAGGGGGCCTGACCTGACGAGGTGTCTCTCTGCCCTAGGGCCCCCTCCTTCCGGCTGCCGCCTGACCCCAGCCTGCCCTGCATCCTGGTGGGCCCCGGCACCGGCATCGCCCCCTTCCGGGGGTTTTGGCAAGAGCGGCTGCACGACATTGAGAGCAAAGGTGAGGCTGGGGGCCAGGGGAAGGACCGGAAGGCAGGAGGGAGTCACACAGTCTAGGGCCAGATGAGTGGGGCTGGAGCGCAGGAACCAGGTAGGAAAGAGGGCAGGGAATGGGCCACAAAGGTGAGGAGAAGCTCATTAGACCGAGGGGAGGGCAGGGCCGGGAGGCCAGGGCAGTGCCCGCAGGTCTGGCTTCCTGGTGCTGGGCACAAAGTCAGGACCACGTTGGATGAAGGACAAAGGGGAGTGGAAGTCTGGAGGGGGCGGGGCTGGGGCTCCGAGGGCAGAAATGCCTCCGAAGGAGTCTGGTCCGTGCCAGAGCTGCCCTGCGTGGGTCCAGGACCCAAGAGCCTCAGGTGTTCAGGTTGGGCACAGGGTGCCCAGGGTGGCTGGTAAGCCACAGGAAATGGGGGGGGGGGGTGACTGAGAGGGAGGCAGGAAGTGTGGGAGGTGAAGGTGAGGGAGAATATGGGGTTGGAGCAGGGAAGGAGCCAGTTAGTCCCAGAACTGCAGCGACAGACGGGGCGAAGGCAATCCTGAGTCCGAAGCCCCCGTTCCAGCGCCTCTGCCGGCCGGTCCGCGAGGAGAGGCCGGCCCACCTGCTGTGAGCTTGGGCTTCTCCCCAGTCGGGATCGGGTACCCTCCTAGAGGCCGCGCAGCGGAGAGTGGTTGTCTCCGCCCAGAAGGCGCGGGACGTCCGCCTGGGCGGAGCAGACAATAGGAGGGGCTCTCCCAAACCGCCGGACTGCTTGCAGGGCTGCAGCCCGCCCCCATGACCTTGGTGTTCGGCTGCCGATGCTCCCAGCTCGATCACCTCTACCGCGACGAGGTGCAAGACGCCCGGCAGCGCGGGGTGTTCGGCTGCGTCCTCACCGCCTTCTCCCGGGAGCCCGACAGCCCTAAGGTGCGGGACCCTAAGGGCGCAGGGGTAACCTGAACCTAGGGGCTTGGGAAGGGCCGATGCGCACTCCGGTGGTGGACGCAGGCCCAGGCCCAGCCTCCGCCCGCCCCTCCGCTCCCACCCAGCAGCACTGAGGCACCCGCTCCCACTCGGCCCTACAGCGTACCCAACGCCCCTTTGAGTCTCACCCACCCTCGCCCAAGCCCCGCCCCTGATTCATGCACCTCTCTAGACCCCGCCCCCGCTCACTTTCGTCCCTCTGGCCCTCCCGAAACTCCACCTGCCCGCAGACCTACGTGCAGGACATCCTTCGGACAGAGCTGGCTGCTGAGGTGCACCGCGTGCTGTGCCTGGAACGGGGCCACATGTTTGTCTGCGGCGATGTCACCATGGCAACCAGCGTCCTGCAGACGGTGCAGCGCATCCTGGCGACAGAGGGCGACATGGAGCTGGAGGAGGCCGGCGACGTCATTGGCGTGCTGCGGGTGCCGAGGGGCGGGCCCTCGGCGGGGCGGGATGGGGCGAGGCCCTGGAGGGGCGCGGTCCCCCTGGGAGCGGCCGGGGCGGAGTACAGATAGAGGCGGGGCACGCTCCGGTGTTGATCTCCGGCTCAGGTTCGGATCTGTTTTATTTTCACCGCAGGATCAGCAACGCTACCATGAGGACATTTTCGGGCTCACGCTGCGCACCCAGGAGGTGACAAGCCGCATACGCACCCAGAGCCTTTCCTTGCAGGAGCGACATCTGCGGGGCGCAGTGCCCTGGGCTTTCGACCCGCCCGGCGCAGACACCCCCGCTCCCTGAGAGCCCTCTTCCTTGCTTTCCGCCTGGAGAGGGGCCGCCAGTCCACACCGGCGCTGCCGCTCTCCTGTCGGCCTGCCGGGGACCAGCCACCTCTCCCTCCCCTCCCGAGGTGCCTTCCTTCCACGTCTGTCCGAGTCTCGCCTAACTCCGGGGAAAGAGCGAAGTATCTTTCTCTCTCTAGGCCCGGTTCCCAACCCGGGTCTAAATCTGGGAGGCCCCTCCCAACAACGGCATTCCAGGACCTCCTGTCACCCCTTCCGTGTTCTCTAGGTGAATTTCAGATTCCCCTTTACTCGCCTAGGAGTATCTTTTCTTGAAACCTACTCTCCAAATCGTTCAAATATTTATTATTGAAGGTTCACCGTAAGAGACTGGACCAGGTGTTGTGAGAGTTACCGAGATGCCTCAGCCAGCCCTGTGCATTAAAGTGACAGCACGACGCGCTCTCTGCCCTTTCACTTGTGCACGCGTGGGGTGGGAGCTCTCTGAGAGGGGTCTGTCCCACGCACCCCGCTCTGGCCGCGCACTCCAGCCTAGTGGCTCCGAGCCAGCCGCAGGCAGTTCTGCGGCGCCGCTCCCTCGCTCTGGGGTGAGCACCGAGTACCGCCCTCTGCTGCCAGGAACGGGGATGCCCGGGGCCGAGGTCACAAAGACGGTACGAAGCGGCCGGCCGCCAGCAAGCTTTACTGCTCGTTTCAGACAGGATGAGGAGCCACACCCACTTCCTCTGACGTCACGCCGTGCCGAACTCCAAAAACATCAGCCCCCTTTCCTTAATCTTTCCCCTCCCAAGTCCCCAGGCCCCCCCTCCACAAATCCCACGGGAACCCGGAGAACCAACCGCCGCGCAGTCGCGTCGCTCACCGTTTCCCTTACACTTGGCGTGGCCCCCGCCCTGGTCCTGGTTCCCCACCCCCATCTTGAGAATACTTGGGGACTTCTCCCCGGGGCAAACGGCTCCAGGACAGCTAGTTGTTGGAGGGTGTGTGTGTGGGGGGGGTCCCCTTCTCCCCTCCACGTGGGGATTGTCTCTAAGACCTGCTTCCAGATGCCTTTGCGTCTGCTCTCCTAGCCTTTCTCTGCTCTCTGGGGCAAGTTCGTCTGTCATTAACCCTCCAATCCTGCCCAAGGAAAGCAGCTGTGGGGTGGCCCCTAAAAAGGATTTGGCTTGTGCTTCCACTCCACCTCTTCCGATCTCCTGCGGCTGCAGAAGCTGGGGAATCTGAGGGGGAGAAGGCCCTTGTCAAGCGGCCCCGGGGGGGTAGGTTCTAGAGATAACCATCCCCCACACACACGCCCCAAATGCCCACCACGGTTTCCATCCCTCTCGCTCCATCTAATGTCTTAGGCAGCCCCTCCCTGCCCCCACCGCAGGGACACGGCACTGACCCCGAGGAGGCCCCTCAGTCAGTGCCAGGGGCCTGGCCCGGCTCCTTTGGAGCCTCTGCGGTCTGCTGGAAGCCTCCGGGGAAGAGACTCTGGGTCCTCTGGGTTCTCCACTGCTGCCTGGGGCTGGAGGCAGGGCTGGAGCCTGGTGAGAAGAGCCGTCAGTGGGACGGCGCCCTGCCGCCTGCTACCCACGCCGCCTGCTACCCCGCCCGGCCCCGGCACGCCCTGCCCGCCTCACCACCACTCGACCAGGAGGGCTTCTCCTCATCAGGAGAGAGTGTCTGCGAGGGGCTGGACCAGGGCCTGCCCACGGGGGAGGCGGAGGCCTCGCCCCACAGTTCCTGCTGCTGCTGCTGGTGGAGCTGAAGGGAAGGGAGAGGAATGAGGGCTCCACCCCTACCCCGCTGCCCAGCAGCCCGAGGCCCTGGCCCTGGGCTGGGCGCACAGGGCTTCGAGACCCCCTCCCCAGCCCCTGCTGGGTACCTCCTGCCCTCTCCTCAGCCTCTCTTTTGGGCAGCTGCTTTCTCCCACTTATCTCCTTTTTCCACACCTTTCCGCTCACCTGGTGCAGGTAGATGGCATGGAGACTCATCTCAGCAGAGGCAAGCTCGGGTAGCTGGGCCACCTTCTGGCCCCCAGTGCCTCCTGGGGACACACAGCTGGAACAGAGGATGCGGTAGAGCAAAGAGAAGCCGCTCACCCCGCAGCCCACAGGCAGGGCCGGGCTCGACCTCCCCTTCCTAACCACGCCCAGTGCCCCCGTAACCTCCTCCTGGAGGGCCTGCCTCCCCACCCCTGCTCCCCTGCACCTCAGGCCCCCACCCTTCACCTGGGGTCCTGGGCCATTCTAGAAATGGAGGCCAGGAGGCTGGCGGTGGCAGCTGCTGGGCAGGGGGCTGTGGGGCTCAGGTCCCTCGGGGGCAGGAGGGGGTGCACCAGGAGGTTGGCCAGGAAGGTCTCGGGCTGGGAGCGAGAGAAGGCGAGGATCAAAAGAGAGGGCAGAAGGGGAGGGAGGAGGTCTCGTCAAGGCAGGGGAGAAGACTGAACCAGTGGGCAGGCCGGTTCACTCAAAAGGTGAGGCGGAGGCAGGGGAGGGGGCGGGGCCCCTGGCGAAGGCAGGGGCAGGCCGGGCGGGCGTGGGCTCACCAGAGGGGAGGAAGAGTCGCTGAGCACCCTGGAGGTGGGGGGGCTGCGAACCGAGGCGGCACCCAAAGTGGCTGCATCCTGTTGCACCCGGCCCCGAAGCTGCCCCAGGAACTTGGAGCTGTGCCCCGGGGGGCGCCATTGCGGGTGCACCAGGGAGAACCTCATCAGGGAGAGCTCAGTCTTGCCGTCCTCCGCGCGCTGGGACTGCGAGGCTTCTGTGTGTCCCGCCGAGAGCCACTGAGGAGAAAAGAAAAAGCTCCTGGCACTGCTTTTAGGGGCCCCATGGGAGCCTCGTGGGGTTGGCGGGACAGGAAACACGAGCCCCAGTCTCCAGGTGGAAGGAGGAGGCCACGATGGGCACTTGCTTAAGGTCACCCAAAAACACGGCAGCAGAGCGGGACCTGGGTCCGGGCCCAGCAGTAGAAGCAGGCAGCAGCTCTGTGTTCTGCCGGCCTGCTCCCTCCGGACCCTAGGGCCAGCCTCAGGCCCTCCTGGGGAAGGCAGGTCTCACTTCAGCCCCATCCACGGTCCAGCCCATCCCTCAGCCTCCCTGGTGGCCTTCACTCCATGGACCGGTGCTGGGATTATACACACGCCGTGTCATGTAACCGCACACGGCCCTGTGCGTTGGCTACAGCCATTGTCCTGAAGGACACTAAGGCTCAGGGAAGGGAAGTGATGAGCTCAAGGTCACAGGTGGCAACCAAGGGAGCTGAGAGGCACACCCCTTTCTAACTCCCACCACACACATCCAGGGGAGAGGATTCTAACCTGAGGGTGGCCGTGGCGCTTCACATCCATAAGAGCAAAGGAACAGATGTCACCAACCCCGGCCACATCCACAGTGAAATGGCGAAAAAAGTCAATAATCTCCAGGGCGCGAGGGCGAAACCAAAAGAGCAGGAACAGCGGGGCGAAGAGAGGTGACAGCAGCTCCTCCAGGAGGGAGACCTGGGGAGGCAGGGGCGAGGCTGAGGCGTCGCTGAGGGCGAACAGGACCAAGAGGCCCCCGGGGATGCTGGCCAGGGCAGGACACGTCCAACCCAGTCATTCCCCGGCTGCCGGGGTGGCCAGTCCCGCGTGCACCTGTTCCACGCCCTTTCCGAGCCCAGGCGGCTGCACAGCTTCCCGCGGGAGCAGCCCCCCTCCGGACCCGACCCTCACCGCTCGGTATTGCAGCAGCCGCGCCATCTGCTGGTAAGCGCTGGCCCTGCCGGCAGCACCCGGCTGCTCCGGGAGGTAATGCATGTGGGCCAAGGCCGACTGCAGCAGGAGCTGCGGCGAGCGGCCCTGGCTCTGCTCTTCCGGAATGAAGGACCTGGAGGGCAGGACGGGGTGGGGCCGGTGCCCGAGGTTAGGAGGGCGTGCGGATGCCGGAGGCAGGGTAGGAGACGCCGGCGGCGGCGAGAGGGGTCGGGATGCGGGTGGAACTCAGCCCCAGGTCCGAGGAATGACCCCCTCCCTGGGCAGCTCCCCTCGCACCTGGCCACGGTAGCCGTGACCCCGAGCGCGGTCATGGCGGTGAGCACGTGCTCCACGGCGAGCACGTCCTCGTCGTAGACGGTGAGGGCGAGCAGCGCGGCGAAGAGCGCGCCGGCAAAGAAGACCAGCTGGCGGGCCAGCAGCGCGAGCATGGGCGCGGGGGGTGCCGCGGCGCGCAGGAAGGCGGTGGCGGGGCGGTAGGCGCGGGCCAGGCGGGCGCGCAGCTCGTGCGGCAGTTCGTTGAAGTGGCGCAGCTGCAGGCGGGCCAGGCGGGACCAGCGGCGCGCCCCCAGCGAGCCCGGCTCTCGCCGCAGCAGCTCGACGTGGCTGTAGAAGGCGTGCAGCACCTGCCAGGCCAGCACGAGCGGGCTCAGCGCCAGGTTCACGACGGCCAGCAGCAGTACCGTGCGCCGCCAGCGCGCGGCCAGGGCGCCCCGCTGGTCATGGCGCTTGTAGGCGTCGGGCAGCTCCCAGCCCCCGCGGAAGAGCGAGAAGGGCCCTCGGAAGAGAAGCAGGTCGACGTTGAGCGCCAGGCCGCGGCTGAGGAAGGCCACACTGCCCCCACAGGGCAGCGCGCAGCGGGCGGGCAGCAGGCCCTTGTTGGCCAGCGCCACCTGGTAGTTGGTGTAGCGCAGGATGCGGTGGTGCACGTCCAGCTCAGTCAGCGGCCGCGGCTGCACGCACAGTCCCCCGCTCCTCTGCAGCGCCAGGAGGCGCGACTGCACCTCCGCCCAGGACACCGAGCTGAGCTCCTCCTGAGGACACGGGATGAGTGAGCGCCAGCGACCGGGGTGCCCCTGCACGCTGGTGCCCAAGTTCACCACGGCCGGAGAGCTGCATCCCTAGCGCCTCCTCCCCACGCTCCTTCCCCGTGTCCCTCAGGTGGGAAACCTGTCACCCCTTTTTGTCCTCCTTGCCCTTCCCTAGGTCACAAACCGGGGCACTTCCTGCTTCCTTTCGTCCTCTTCTGAATCGTTCCTCCTGGCCAGCCATTCCTGAGGCCATGAGTCATATGCTTCCCAGCGACACCTCATATGTTAAATTCTTCAGGTATTCCATCTCAGCTCCTTAAGAGCAGATTTCCCCGAGCCACCCGCAGTCCCACACGCAGACGACACTGAGCGGCCACAGGTCCTAGGGCGCCTGCCAGCGTGGGTCCAGACGCGTCCTGCCTCTCGCCCCCGCAGGCTTTGAGATGGCCATCCCCCGCAGTGACCTTCCTAAGACGCTGGCTGAGTGCACGGCTGGGGGCGGTCTCTCCTGCAAACCTCATCTGAGCCCACGTTCACCCAGCTGCCCCAGTCCAGCCCAGTCAAGGCCCTCTGGGCCGGTCTCTCCAGGCCATCCTAGGGTCGCCCCTTCCCCCGGAAGGAGTAGCGGGGGAGGGAAGTAAAAGGAGAAGGAGGATGAGGAGGGCGAGCCAGTGGTCTGACTCTTGCTCTCTGCTGCCTCTGCTTCCCTGGCCCCCCGATCTGTCCCGCACTGTGCCCCGTGTTCCCCTCAAGACAACTTTCTAGAACCTGCCCCCTGGGCTGTGCAGGAGGACGTGCTGAAGGCTCTAGACTTCTAAGGGGAGCAAGGGAAGCCAGCTGCAGAAGGTAGCGTGTTTTTCTGTGTGTAATGCATGTGCACCCACGGTTTGTGCGCATTATACACGGTATCGTTATGCCCATGTAGCGTGCACGTCCTTATTTTCCCCTCAAAAACTTGGGCAAAAAACCTGCGCGTTATACACGGCAAAATACGGTAGCCTTGGAGCAGTGCCTTCAAGGAAGAACTTAGGTACACAGCAAGGAGCGTGAGCGAGACAGGGAGGGAGGAAAGGGCCAAGCAGGGCCTGGGGACAGCGAAGGGGCCGTGCAGCGGCCGACTGCAGTAGGGGCAGAGCCAGAGAGGGGAGTGGGACCACCCAGTGAGGCCCCAGCGCTGAATTGCGGGCTGGCGGGTCGGTCTCTTCCCACAGATGCTCACTGGCTCCCCGCCTCCTCGGCTCCTGTCCTGCCCGGCCCCACCCCGGTTTCCTCTGCTCTGTAAAGCCAGATGACCGCCCCTGCTCTTCCGTCACCCATCTAAGTCCACGGAGCCCCGCTAGGATGGGGACCGAGTTGTATATGTGGCGGTACCCCGCCTCCTGACCTTCCTCGGGGCCTGGGGTGGCTGTCGGTGAGGACTCTGCCACTTCCCGGTGGGCCCCTCGGTCTGTGCCGCCCCCGCTCCTCCCCGTCCTCAGCCGCCTGACACGGCACCCCTCCACACAATCACAGCCACCCAGCTCACCGGGGGGATGTGCAGGGCCTCCCTGTAAAACACCTGGATGTCCCAGTAGCTGAAGAGGTTGCACACTGAGCGAAGCAGCTGGATCAGCCAGAAGGCTGCGGCCAGGACCAGAAGGAAGACCAGCAGGGGGCTGGAGCGGATCCTGGGGGCGGAGGCAAGGGAGCGAGAAAGTGGGACCCCCTGTGGAGAGGGAGACGAGACTTGGGGAGCAGTGGTCAAGTCATGGAGGGGATCTGGCAAGACCAGCAGCCCTCAAAGTGTGGGGCGTCTGGGGTCCTCGAGACCCTTGCAAATGTCTTCAAGGTCAAAACTTTTTTCAGATAATACTAATGCTTCTGCCATTCTTATTCTCATTCTCTCATGGATGTACAGCCGAGTTGTCCAGAGGCCACATGATACCATGTGGACAGCGGACGGAGTGGGCCTTCTTAGGTTTTCCAGCTGTCCTGCGCTTTACTCTCCGATAAAGTGTGATTCTCATAAGCAAAAGCTCTTGGGCTCTCAGTCAGCTTTAAGTGTGTACAAGCTATCTGGAGACCCAAAACTTGGGGAACCAGTGGTCTAGCCCGGGGACAAAAGGTGGGTGGCTCCTGTCTGCTAGACTCCCCCACCAGCTTTGTCGCCCCCCCACCAGCTGTCACTCACCGCTGGGCACACTGGGTGGACGGCAGGATGGCGTCGGACAGAGCCACTTTGCTGTGCGGCAGCCCAGGTCTTGTCCGGTTACTCGGTTGGTTGGCAAAGAGAATGTTGTAATCCACGCAGCGAAGGAGGAAGGTCGTGAAGGTGATGATGAAAACGAATTGTCTGGCGAGCCGGGGGGTCAGTGATCAGTCCCGAGAGCTGGGTGGGCTGCTGCCCGCCCCCGGCCGCCTGGCGGGACTAGAAGCGGCAGCACGACCAGGACAAGCATCTCACCCCAGCTGGAAGACATCCTCGAGCAGGATGCAGGCGAAGCCGTTGCGCTGGTGGTAGCTGTAGATGTGGTGGCTGCGTCAAGAAATAAACCCAGGCAGGGCGCGCCTTCCCTGAGCATGCCGCCCCTCACTCCCCCGCCGGTCCCCCGACCCCCTGCATCCTCAGAGTCGCCCCTGCCGTGAACAGTGCCAGCACCCAAGGGGCCCTCCCGCGCCACCGCCGCCAGGCACAGCGCAAAGGATATCTTGGTGAAGAAGCTGTCCAGGTTCTGGATGTGGTGCCAGGAGCCTGGGCACACAGGGGAGAGTGTGGGGACTCAGCTGTCATCGGCGTGAGCTTTCCACGCCCTCAGCCTGCCGCCTCAGCCCCCGGGCCCTCCCCAGCCCGCTCCGCCGTAGCCCCACGCCCCCGCGCTCACCTCGGAGCCCTTCGGGCACGTGGAGCAGGGGCTGCTGCTCCTCCCCGTGGAGGGGCGAATCTTGGGACCCCTCAGGGTCACCGTCCTCCAGCCGCTCATAATCCTGCTCAGGGATCAGAGGGCCCATCCGCAGCCCAGGACTGCCCTGGGGGCATCGTCGTGCAGGAGGGGGAGTCACCGAGGCCAGGGGTGGGGTGGAATGGGAACCCCAGGAGGGGGGAGCAGAGATGGGTGTCCTCACAGGCCCTACCTGTTTTGGGGGTGTGGCTGGGGTGGGGAGGGCACCGTGTCGAGGCTGAGAAGCCCCTGAGGCCTGCACAGCTGGGCAGGGGGGCCCCGGGGCCGGAGGAAGAACTAAGGAAGGCACACTTCTCGTGCGAGGGGCAGGGGACAGAGAGAAGACGGAGACCCTCCCTCCCCCAGGCCCCCGGCACGGAGGAGGCAGGAGAGGAGGCAGTGGCATGGGGAGGAGGGGCACCGATGCAGGCCCCAGGTCTCCCCACCGCCCCAGCTGCCCTCTGCTCCCCCCCCAGCCCGTTCGCCTCACCATCAGGCCGGCGGCTTCTCCTGAGAGTTGGGAAGGGTGGGAGCTGCGGCTGTTTTCTCGGAGGTGTGAGGAGCTGAGCAGGGACTTCAACCAAACAGTGACAACAACAACACCGTGACTCAGTTGGGGCAGGCCCCAGGCGTCCCAGCTCCCAGTCGGTCACCTGTCTAAGCACGCACACCCCCTTCCCGGGCAACCTGCAGCCAAAGCTCTCAGGGCCCCGCCCCCGCTCCCGGGAGGGGTGCCAACCCGAGAGGCAGAGGCTGAAGAACAGACCAGAGGAGACACCTACCATCCCATTGGCAGCCCTCGAGTGGATTTGACGGGGAGCCCGGGGACTAGCAGCCAAAATAACAAAAGCCAAAAGAAAACCCTGTCAAAGGATCATAGGACAATGGGGCCAAGCTGTTAAATCGTTGATTTCTTATAATCTTGTCTTCCCTACACACACACACACACACACACACACACACATAGAATCACCGATGGAGAAATGCTTTAAGAGCAAAAGCAGGAAGAGAAAGAAAGAAAGGGGGAGGCTGTTCATTTTGTCTGTCCGGCAGCACTGAGAGGGGTGGGTAGTGGGGGGGGGCCTGGCTGTGCATCCAGGGTTGGGGACAGTGAGCAGAAGGAAGAGAAGAAAGGACAGACAGCTCTCTCAGATGTGAAAAGCGGGGTTTGGAGCTTCCAGCAGAAAAACAGGGTTCCTTGGACATTCCACTGTGTTTACTTCCTTGTCTTCCTGAGCCCTGAAACCCTCTCCCCCGAGTCCTAATCCAGCCTTTGGGGGCCTCTCAGAAGCATCGGGGCTGAATCAGCAGAGAGCAGCTGGGGGTGAGAGATTTGGAATGATAATTTCGGTGGCCGAGATGACCTGACTGCGTTGAGTTCCTTGTTGTCACATCAACGAGGAGGAGGAGGTGGAGGCCGGGGCAGCTGGTCCGCGGCCTGTCCAACACCATTCCTGAGGCTCTGATTCACCGGGTTTCCTACTGAAGGCCACGCCACCCAGGTGTCCAGCCTGCTGGGCTTCGGCCAAGGACTTGCGTAGGGGCCAGGATCCATGAACTGGAGAGGGGGACAGAGTGCTTCCCAGACTGTGCGCTGGAGGAATGTGGGGGCCGTCACAGAACTGCCCGCAAAACCTGAATCCAGACATCCCTGTATCTCTGCCTCCTTCTGTGCCTCCTTCCGGGGGCCAGAACCGCCGGCCTAGCTGAGGACCTGCATGGTTTCATCCCTGATCAGGAGGCAGAGCCGTGAAAACAAGACTCGCCCCTTCTAGACATGTCGTCCTTGTGCCCAAAGGGGAGTGCCACATTAAAGAGGGGCTAGGAGTTTCCCACGAACTCTCAGAGACGTCTCTCCAGATGGGTTATGTGGGGTTTTGTCCGGCCTCTCCTCAGCCTCACTCACCACAATGTTCTACCTCACTTGGGGACCCCTCCCACACACCCAGCCGTACCTCAAACTCATCCTGCCATACCTCCTGACCCATTTCCACCCCCAGATGCAGTCATTTACAGCCTCCCTAACACCAACCCCAATTCAAGTCAGTTTATTATCAAGGACACTTTTTCCTGCCAGGCATTTGAAGGGGATGGGGAACACATGAATGAGATAGAGCCACTACCTGGAGAAGTCGGGGCCCAGTTGAGGAGGCAGCTCTGCAAACAAACAATTGTGGGGAAGGAGTAAGCGCTGAACAGCGGTGTAAGACCTCTACAGAGGTGGGAGCCTTAGTCAGTCTGCGCATGCGTCTGAGGTCGCGGTGCTAAGCTACTGGACCTCTATTCTGTATCAGTGGTTGAGTAGTGGCAGCGTATCACAATCACCTGGGGAGGTTTTTTTAAACTTTGTTTTTTTAAGATTTATTTATTTTTAGAGAAAGGGAGGGAGAAAGAGAGGGAGAGAAACATCAGTGTGTGGTTGCCTCTCACACGCCCCCTAGTGGGGACCTGGCCTGCAACCCAGGCTTGTGCCCTGACTGGGAATCAAACCCGGGGCCCTTTGGTTTGCAGGCCAGTGCTCAATCCACTGAGCCACACCAGCCAGGGCAAGGAGTTTTTTTTTTAACTCAGTTATACGTGGTTGCCGTCCCGGAGCTCTGACCCGCCTGGAGAGCGGGGTGAGTAGCAAGGTATAGGCACTTGTTTTGAAAAAAACAAAAACGCCGCAGCCGATTTTGTCCATTCTTTTCCCAGAACCAGCGCTCTACACTCCCCGAAGACCCCAGGACCTCTAGAGTCCACCAGCAGCAGCGATACAACTGCAGGGAGGTCCGCGGCTGACGCGTTACTATGGATACCCGGGGCAGGGGTCGGACTTTGCAGACGCAAAACGTCAACCCTAAGCTAGGTCAAGCAGCGGGCGCAAAGCCCTGCCCCGTCCTGCTCAGCACCACCCGGAGCGCGGAAGAGGGACAGGCGGTTCTCTCCAATCACAGTTCCTGAGGGAGGAGCGCGGACAAGGTTTTCTCCAATCACAGCTTGCAAGGCATTCCTGAGTCTTTCCTCCAATCCTCGCCGAGGCGCGAAGGGGTTGTCGGGATGGGGGCCAGAGCCAACATGGAGCCTTCAATGGGATAAGGGTGAAACTTCCGTGCCGGCTGCTCCTGTCTCCCGCCCAGTCATGTTGGTGCACTTATTTCGGGTCGGGATTCGGGGAGGCCCTGTCCCAAGCAGACCGCTACTCCCCCTCAGCTTCCAGACATTCTCGGCTGTCAGGTAAAGAGGGACAACTAAACTGCGAGCGCAGGGCCATTTGACCGGGTAGCCGGGCGCGGGGACCGCCGGGAGATGGAGTCCCGGGCTCGCGCGAGGCCTGCTGGGAGTTGTAGGCCGACCGACCCCGGGAGTGGAATGTCACTCCCCTGGGAATTGGCCTCAATTATTTATAGCGAAGAGCCAGGTGCCAGCAGGAGACTCCGCGTACCTGTTTGCGCGTGTGGGCCGACCGAAAGAAAGCTGTGGGTGGGTGACCACGCCCGGGCCGTACTGCTTGCCCACCAGGGGGCGTCGAGCCGCACTGGCTTTCTCCCTTCGATCGCCGTTCCGGCCCCATCCTCTTTCTTGGAATTGGCCTGGCGATTTGGATAAAAATTATTCGTGTCTAGAGACATTTAGTGTTAGTGGTGCTCCCAGGGTCCAAAATGAGCTGAACAAAAATGGTTCCTAGATGTGGATACTTGCAGCAGGTAGTCCATCTAGTAAGTTGCCCCTGTGTGTTCTGTGTTCACTCCGCGCATGTCGGTGTAGAGAGGGAGCGGGGCAGGGCAGGGAACGGGTGGGAAACGAAGGAGACTCTGAACTGAGACTTAAGTATAAATGCTTTATGAGAAGGTACTGACTCCCTACTGATCTTGGATTGAATGACCTGAGGGCCAGGCAGGCAACAGATTCGGAGGGTGGGTGCATGTGGGCTTGTGTCATTTGGAAGGTCCATCCGATTGATAGAGGGCAAGATCCGGGCGGGGCTGGAGCCGGAAGTACCGGTGCTGGGAAGTAATCCACCAGTTCTTGGCAGTGAGCTAGCCCTGCTTAGAGCCTCAGTTGGGAGAAGATGAGAGAAGATGGAAAGTGTCCGTGGTAAATTATTAAAAAGTTCGAACAATCCTCAGGAAACGAGTAAGGGTGTTAATGTTATTTACACCAGAAAGAAACCCAAGGAAAGAAATCCAATAATATTCAAGTATTTGTGTGTTCATTTGTGCAGTTTTTCAGGTGTTGAAGTCATAGCACAGTAGATCATAAAAGGAACTTGTGGGTTGGGACCATTTAAACTTGAATATAACAGTGCCCTGGCCGGTGTGGCTCAGTTGGTTGAAGCATAGTCCCGTAAACTGAAAGGTTGTGGATTCAGTTCCCGGTCAGGGCACATGCCTGGGTTGCCATTTGGTCCCATGTCGGGGTGCATATGAGGCAGCCAGTTCATGCCCCCGCCCTGCCTCTCAAAAACTGGCAAGCATGTCCTCAGGTGGGGATTAAAGGAAATAAATAAATCATTTTAAAAAGTGACTGTAATAAAAAATAGAATACATATTTAAAAATAGAGGAAGTATCATTTTGTGAAGGCTCTCAACTTGGTGTGCCATACATATGTTCCTTGTACCGGGTTACAATGTACAAGTGTATTTTTTACCGTTGGCCTCAGGAAATCTGAAACTTTGCAAACACCGCAGTAGTGTGTCAGTTCAGATTGTTCTGCATTTCTCATGAGGGCGCGCACTCCACAAACATCAACATTTTTTAAACGTATTATATTCCAGGGCACTGCTGAGCACTGAGGATACGATGGGGAACGAGATAGAATTTCCTGCTCTCAAGGAACAGATGGTCTAATGGGAAGTTGGGCAATTACACAGGGCAGAAGGAGTCAGCTTCTCCACTTAAAACTGTGTGTTTTAGGACAAGACGTAAAGTACACAGTGGAAAACAAGACAGAAACCAGGCATGTGGCCCTGACTGCTGTGGCTCCATGGGTTAGGCAATCCTCCCGCAGACCAAAGGGTCACCGGTTCAATTCCCAGTCAGAGCACATGCCTGGGTTGCAGGCCAGGTCCCTGGTTGGGGGCGTGCAAGAAGCAACCGATGAATGTTTCTCTTGAACGTCAATGTTTCTCTCCTTCTCTTTCTTCCTCCCTTCCCCTCTCTAAAAATAAATAATTTTTTAAATCTTTAAAAACATATTAGCCAGCAGGTGGAAAGTGGCGGGTAGAGGCACAACATAGAAGGGGCAGGAAGCACGGCCCCCGAAAGCAGGGAAGGGTGAGACGAAGCCTGCAGTCAGGAGGGCCAGGGGGTGTGAAACACCGCCCCAGGGAAGCAAGAACCCCTCGCTCATTCCAGTCTTTCTCTAAAAGCCTTTCCCCATCCACTGCCTCATTCGGATCTCTGAGCATCCCATCACGTGCTCCAGGCGGAGAACTTCTTCTCCTGACGGGCGTCTGTAGCCAGTCTTGACCTCTTCCCGCCATGCCCCTCTCCTGTGACCTTTAACATGCAGAGCTGGCCCTGGCCGGCGTGGCTCAGTGGATTGAGTGCCAGACCGGCGAATGGGAAGGTGGCCTGTTCGATAAATGAAACCTTTAAGAAAAAAAAGAAAATGCAAATCTGATTATGTCCCACCCCAGCTAAAAACCAGAGATGGTCTTTATTGCCCTCCGAAGTCCAGCTGTTTTGTGAGGACTGTGAGGACTCCCGCCACACCGCCACCTTTCCTGACCGACCCCCTGAGACGGGAGGAGGAGGAGCCCCGGCTCTGTGCTCTGCGAGCCCGTGGCTCCCCTCTCCCCACGCTCTGCAAGCTTTGTCATGAGCTGTTTGTCACCCGCCACTGAAGTGCCAGCGCCAGGAGGATATTCATTTGGTCTCCTGTTTGGCTCCTGCGCTCCGCGCCTCTGAGCAGAGCGCTGCGCGCAGTAGGCACGCAGCCCTCTGTTGCTGTCTATAGACACGGAAACTGCAGGAAAGAGGGCAGCCTTGGTTTACTGAGATGATGAGATATGCTATTTGATTTCTACTCCTTTCCCTTCCCTCGGCTCATGGAGAGGGAATGTGTCGCCCTTCCCAGCCACACATTGTCACGTGGGCACTGGAGGCCTGGGAGGAGCGGGGTGATGGGGTGCGATAAGCACTGACCGTCGTCAGAAGACCTGGGCCCTGGCCCTGCCACGCAGGACCCTGGGCGCATCGCACAGGGCAGGGTAGAGGGAGCCTACATTCTGGACTCCCACACACACGTCGGGGTTCCCTCCCGTCCCAGGGCTGCCGCCTGCGGACAAAGATTAGCTCTCCGAGCCCCACACGAGTTTGCCGGCTTTGCAGCCGGCTTTGCAGTGGGTGAGTGAGAAAAAAACAGCATCTCCCTCCCAGGGACTCGGGGTCAAACACGGTGGCAGCAGGACGTTAACACTCAGTGTGCTGTCCCCTCCTCTCCAAGTCCGCTCAGGACTGCTGCGTCCTCAACCGGAAGGGAGCGACACGGACTAGCTGCCCTGCGGGGCGCCCTCCGGCTCTGACGTCCTGGGATCCGAGCCTGTGGGTGGGAGCCGGTCACTGGCCCAGAGGCGCCTCCTGGGGCTGCGAGGGCCTGGCTGGCTGAGCAATCGCCCAGGGAGCACCTTTAAGACTTCATCACGTGCACCTGTGTCATTCCTCAGCTGCTTTGCAAGCGTGTGTGTTTGTCTCAGAGACTGAGGGTGCTAACTGAAAGGTTGTCAGTTCGATTCCCAGCCAGGGCACGTTTCTGGGTTGCAGGCCAGGTTCCCCAGTAGGGGGCGTGCAAGAGGCAGCCGATCTCGGTATCTCTCACACGTCAGTGTTTCTCTCCCTCTCTTTCTCTGTCCCTTCCCTTTTCCCTAAAAAGTAAATAAATAATTTTTTTTAACGAATGAAAGCCTGTTTTAAAAAGAAACAGGATGCTTAAGAGCAGCCCGAGATAGGCACGGGCTGGCCTGGCAGGAGGAAGCGCCGCTGTCCAGAGGGCCCGGCGCAGGGGTCGCCTGGCTCCCGTTCAGCTGAGGGACGGCCGGGCCGCAAGCCCGCCCACACGACTCTCCTCCTGCAGGCACTCCGATGGCCGCCACGGCTCCCACCTCCTCCGGGCCGTGGCCCAGCTGCGGTGTCAGCTCCGGGCCCGCCTCCTCCGAGCGCCCCCAGCTCCCCGCCGAAGCCCCTCTGCCTGGCGCTGGGTCGGGGGGGCCCTGCTGGGCCCCGTGGTGCTGAGCAAGTGCCCCCGCCTCTGCCTGGTGGCGCTGTGTGAGGCAGAAGAGGCCCCTCCTGCCGACCCCCGGCCCTATGTCACGGAGTCCCACTTCCACTGGAGGCTCTTCTGGCAGTTTCTGCGCCCCCACCTGCTGGTCCTGGGGGCAGCCATCCTGGTGAGATCTTCCCCCGCACCCCTAAAACCAGGGGTAGGGAGAGCCCCAGCCAGAGCTGCGCAGGGACAGCCTGCCTGCCTCGTGGAGCCTTGGAGGGGACTTTAGGAAGCAGCAAGGGCTGGCCTGAGGGCAGGGTCAAGGGTACCCGGAGAACATGTGCAGGGGCTGGGCGTGCAGGGCTCAGGGGACCCCAGGGCCTGCCAGCCTGAGCTCCGACTCAAAGGCACTGGGGCAGCCAAAGCCCGGGCAGCAGCAGGAGAGGGAGGCCAGGGTCAGGGCTGGGGGAGGGGAAGAGGACGGCCCCCTCTAAATGTCTGTGTGCCCCCCCCCCAAGCTGGCACTGGGTGCGGCTCTGGTGAACGTGCAGATCCCCCTGCTCCTGGGCCAGCTGGTGGAGATCGTGGCCAAGTACACAAGGGACCACGTGGGCAGCTTCCTGCATGAGTCCCGGAGCCTCGGCACCCGCCTGCTCATGCTCTACGGGCTCCAGGTACAGCAGGAGGGGCGGGCCTGGGGGCAGACGGGGTGGGGGGGCGCCGGGCCCCCCCTGAGTGCCGGCCTCTCTCCCAGGGCCTGCTGACCTTCGGGTACCTGGTGCTCCTGTCCCGCATCGGCGAGCGCATGGCCGTGGACATGCGGAAGGCCCTCTTCGGCAACCTGCTCCAGTACGCCGGCCGCAGGGTGCGGGCTGCAGGCGGGGGTGGCGGGCGGGCCCACAGGGGTGCTGGGGAACGTCTGTCTGGAGGTGGGACATCACCCTGAAGTGACGTCTCCCCCTTTCCCCAACCCGTGGCCCCGTGTCCCACGCCAGACAAGACATTGCCTTCTTTGACGTGAAGAGGACGGGGCAGCTGGTGAGCCGGTTGACCGCCGACGTGCAGGAGTTCAAATCGTCCTTCAAACTCGTCATCTCTCAGGTCAGTGCCCCCAGCCCCCCCACCCCCCAGCCTCCCCCCCCACGCCCTCCAGAGAAGCCACACAGGGCCAACCCCGCCCCGCCCGCCGGGCCCCAGGCCTGGCGAGGGTGTGGGTGAAGGACGGGGAAAGTTCGCGGAAGGGAGGCGCCGGGGCAGTGTCCAAGGTCGGGATAAGCTGTGTCTCTCCTGTCCTGAAACCCTCCCTCCCCAGAAGGCCTTCCCAAGGCCTCGGGCAGGAGCCCTTCCAGCCCCGCTTGCCGAGTTGCCGAGAGCGGGATCGCCCTGGCCTGCCTCGCCCCCGGCACGCCTGGCACGTGGACAGGCGCTGAGGAGGGGCCGTGGTTTGCCCCGTGGCACTGCGGGCCTCTCCCCGCCCACCCCGTGGGCCCCGTGGCTGCTGGGTCATAGCAGGCAGCGGCCCACAGCACCCACCCGTGACTCTTTGCTCAGTGTGTGAGGCAGAGAGAGAAGCAAGCTGGGGTCTCTGGGGAAGGCTGCCGTGCCCGCAGGCGCTCCATCTGGTCCCTTCGCGCCTGCTGGCCCAGACAGGGTTGTGTCCGCCCCGGCTGGTGCGGCTCGGGGGGTTGAGTGCCAGCTGCGAACCGAAAGGTCACCGGTTCGATTCCCAGTCGGGGCACAGGCCCCAGGTTGCGGGCGTGCAAGAGGCAACCAATCGATGTTTCTCATCAAACACTGATGTTCTCTTTTACTCTTTCTCCCTCCTTTCCCCTCTCTCTCAAAAAATAAATATTACGAAAAAGGAGAAAAGAAAGTGTAGACTGCACCTGCCAACCTGCCTCCCCGCCTCCTTTCCTCCCCCCAGGGGCTGCGGAGCTGCACCCAGGTGGCCGGCTGCCTGGTGTCCTTGTCCATGCTGTCCCCGCGCCTCACCCTGCTGCTGGCGGTGGCCACGCCCGCCCTGATGGCAGTGGGCACCCTGATGGGCTCAGCTCTCCGAAAACTGTCACGCCAGTGTCAGGAGCAGGTACCAGGATTTCTGCCCGTCCTCCTCACCCCCACCCCCCACCCCTGTACTCTCCGCCCTGTCACTCCTCCGTCACCAGCCTGACTCCCTTTCTCCTGGACGCCTTGCAGGTTGCCAGGGCGACAGGTGTAGCCGACGAGGCCCTGAGTAATGTTCGGACTGTGAGAGCCTTCGCCATGGAACAGCGGGAGGAGGAGTGAGTCCTGGTGGGGGCGGAACCCAAGGCCAGGGGGCTCCCTAGGGCGCTCCCTCCTCCCCGACCCTGCACCCTGCCTGGGCTGCTTCCTGAGGGCTGGGCTCGGCCTCTGTTCCCAGGCGCTACGGAGCAGAGCTGGAGGCGTCGCGCCAGAAGGCAGAGACCCTGGGCAGGGGCATCGCCTTATTCCAGGGGCTCTCCAACATCGCCTTCAACTGTGAGTGAGCAGAGGCCCGGCGGGGGCGGGGCCGGGGCGGGGCCTGGAGGAGCGCGGGACAGGCCCGGGCAGGGCAGCTCTCCCTGTCTGATGCCCTTCGTGCCCGGAGCCCGCATGGCTGCAGGGATGCGGGTGGGCTGTGGGCAGGTGGGCTGATGTCACCGCCGAGGGACGTGGAGCCTGTTGCCTGCTGCCCAGGAGGAGGCCAGGGAGGCGGCCCCTCCCACTGCTTGTTTCCAAAAGAGGAAACAGAGACAGACCGTGCAGGTGACTCACCGGGGTTGCAAGTTCATCTCAGTCAGAGGCGAGGCCAGCCCTCTCCTGGCTCCCCGCCGCCCCTCCCCAACCTCCTGTCTCCCCGCCCTGCAGGCATGGTGCTGGGCACCCTGTTCATCGGGGGCTCCCTCGTGGCAGGCCAGCAGCTGAAGGGGGGAGACCTCATGTCCTTCCTGGTGGCCTCCCAGACCGTGCAGAGGTGAGTGAGGGGTGGTCCCCGCCCCTCGGGAGCCTGTAGGCTGAAGGACGGGGTGCCGGCCTGCAGCACAGTGAGGCCCCTCGCCGGGGAGCAGACCCGTGCCCCCTCGAGGCCCCCGGCCTGATCCGCTGCTGGCACTCGGAGCTGCAGTTGCCAGTTCAGCCGTCCAGAGTCCTCAGGAGCTTTGGACAGCAGAGTACACGCAGCGTGAAGGGGGCCGTCCTAGCCGGGCGGCAGCGTGCCCTTGGGCAACATAATGGTTCACTGTGCAGCCGTCACCACCGTCTCCGCAGAGCTTCCTCACCGTGCACGGCTGCCCCGGCCCCTGGCACCCACCACGCTCCCCTGTCTCTCTGAGTCCCGCTGCCCTGGGCACCCCTGTGAGTGGGGCCACAGCGTATATGTGTCCTCTGTCGCTGGCTCGCTCCACCCGGCAGAACGTCTCCCGGGCTCATCCACGCCGTGGCGTGCGTCAGAGTCCCTCCCTTTGTAGGGCCGCATAAGGTCCTGTGTGTGTAGAGGCTGTCTTGGCCACGCTCCCTAAGAGCTGGCCAACCGTCCTCTGCCTCCACCCGGGTGGCTCCTGGCGCTGGTCGCCCTGAAATCTGCCCGCTGCTCTGGGCCCGCCTGCCTGCGGGCAGCCGAGAGCTCCACGAGGCCCCCCAGCAAACCCCGCAGTGCCGCCTGCCACCCCGCCTCTCCTCGTCATCCCCACCACGCACGTCCCGTGAGCACGAAAGTGCGTGAGACAGACATACACGTTACAAGACGTAACGGAAGAGGGATTCGCCCTTAAGCTGTGAGGAGAGAAGACCTGTGCTACCACCAGCCACACACCAGAGCAGAGCACCACCCACAGGCCCCCCGGGTCCCTCCCCTCTGCTCCCTGTTCTGCCGGCACCTGGGGCCTGGCTTTGCTGCCTGTCTCCCCTCCCCTTGCCCACGGAGTCCCTCGCCATTGACCCCGTGGGGCAGGTGGAAAAGGCTCCACCCTCAGCGCCGTTTCTGCCTGCTGCTTCCTGGCCCGGGGTGCCCACCTCCTTCCTCCAGCCTGGGGGGGCCCAGGGGCTCTGACTGTCACAGCCGAGGGACTTGGGGTCTCCCCCAGCCCACCTCTGGCCTCTCGTTTTAGTTCCGAGGACCCTTAGGGACCCGCCGGCTCCCTCTGTGCCGTGGCCCTGGCCTTCCGCGGGCAGTGGCAGAGAAGTCTTGTGGGCCAGGCAGCTGCGCCCCCAGGCCTGGCCTCCCCCCCCCCCCCCCGCCCCGCCCCGCCCCTTCCCAGCCTGAGTGCAGACCCTCTGAGACTCCTCCCCGCCCCCGCCAGTTAGCAGTGCTGGGGAGGGGCACGAGGAAGCCGGGGAATGAGTGGGTCCGAGCCCGCCAGCTCCCGCAGCCGCAGGCCCTGGGCCTGTTCTGTTGGGAGCCCCTCACCTCGTTGGGGTTTTCACCACCCGCCGCGGAGGAATCGGGTCTCCTTTTACGCAAACAGGGGGCGCGCTTCCTCCTGGGGTCCAGCGGCGGGGAGGGGAGGGGACAGCGCTGCCCCGCCTCCGCGCAGCCCCAGCCTGTGGGCCCCATCCCGGTGCTCCCCTGCGGCGCACTGGGGCCCCTGGGGAGACCGGCGGCGCCCGGACAGACCCGGCCCGCCGGCCGGCCCCTTGGTCCGCACCCAGGCCCAGGCCCTCCTGGGAGCGGGCGCTGCCAGGCGGGCCTCCGGGGAGAGCGAGGGCAGCCTTCCGAGCCACCTCTGAGAGCGAGGCCGTAGCTCACCAGCGGGTCATGTGTGTCTGGTTTTCGGTTGCTGCCTGGCGCCTCTGCCAGGCACTAATGGCTTCCAGATCTCTCCCTCCGCGCCCGCAGAGAACCGCCGCCCCAGCCCTCCCTTGCTCCCTGCCGCCTGCTCCCCTTGGCAAGTGCCGGCGCCCTGAGCCCGCCACAGCCGCTGCCGAGGGGTCGGTCTCCTCTCTGCAGGGTGGCTCTGCGCCCGGCCAGACCCCCGCACCGTCACGGGCCGCTCAGGCCAGGCGGGCCCAGTGACTAAGGAAAGGTGGTGACTCACCCTCCCCAAGCCAGCTGCCCCACCTGACGGAGGTGACCGGCTGTCTAGACAGACGCAGACTTGCGACACACCCCTCGCAGAGGGCAGGCTGTGATAAGCGTCTCCCGGGGTTTTGGAGATGTTTCTCTCAGGGGCTTCCCCAGAGTCTCCCCTGTGGTCCAGTGTCTTCTGCCTTCTTCTTTCTCTGAAAGGACTAACATCCGTGTCCCCCTTAACTAGCCCTCGCTTGCACCTCGGGTGGGCAGTGCTAGACCTAACCCACCTCCGTGGGCCTCGCCACCCTGGCTACCTGGTTGCTGGCACCGGTGCCACCCCTGCATGGGAGCAGCCTCTGCCCTGCAGCCAGCAGGCCATGCAGGGCCCAGTCCTGAGGCAGATGGTTGTGGGCTCCTCCCGCCAGGGGGAGGATGTGGCTCCGCGAGGAGAAGTGCCCTGCCCTGTGACCTGCCCGGGCCCAGGACCGTGTCCTCAGCCCATGCGCCCCGCACACCCGAGACCCAGGCCCGCCCCCCCCCGGGGCCGGCTTCCTCTCAGCCCTCCTGTTCCTCACAGGTCCATGGCCAACCTCTCTGTCCTGTTTGGTCAGGTAAGCGGCAGAGTTGGGGGTGGGTCTGCTCAAACACTGAGGTCGCCTGTGTGCTTCAGGGGCCAGGTGCTGGGGGGAGGGGATGCCGTACCCGCCCGCACGTGGGGGTCCACGCCGTGCTGCTGTTGGGCCCACCCCCTCACCACGCACTGACCCTCCCAGGTGGTTCGGGGGCTCAGCGCGGGCGCCCGGGTGTTCGAGTACATGACCCTCAGCCCCTGCATCCCGCTGTCCGGGGGCCACTGCGTGCCCAGGGAGCACCTGCGCGGGTCCATCGAGTTCCGCAACGTCAGCTTCAGGTCAGTGTCAGCAGGTGGGCGCAGAGGTCACTCCCTCCGGGCTGGGGGCCTGCCGGCCCGCACCCCCCTCTCAACGAGGCCCGTCAGGGGTGCAGGGGGGACCGGGAGCCTGGTCTCACCGAGAGTATCCTGGCCCCCCAGTTACCCCGGCCGCCCCGGCTTCCTGGTGCTCGAGGACTTCAACCTCACGCTGCCCCCCGGCAGGATCGTGGCCCTCGTGGGCCAGTCGGGCGGAGGTGAGAGGAACCCGCAGCCCCCCACCCCACCCCACCCCACCCCCGCCGGGACTTCCCCCCATGGTGGTGGTCACCCAGTGGAGCCCCTCCCCTGCCACCGCCCCCAGAAACCCGTGCCCCTCCCTGACTGCCCCATCCCCCAACCCCACGTCCCAGGAAAGACCACCGTGGCTTCCCTGCTGGAGCGCTTCTACGACCCCACGGCGGGCACAGTGACCCTGGACGGACGGGACCTGCGCACCCTTGACCCCTCCTGGCTCCGGGGCCAGGTCATCGGCTTCATCAGCCAGGTGTGGAGAGAAGAGGCTTCCCTCGGCGCCCGGGGCTCCGGGAAAGGGCGTCTTGAATGCCCAGCCGGTCTCCTTTCTCCTCTCCCCACCCCCCGCCCTGCCTCTCTCTCAGTGTCTCGGTCACTTGGGCCTTTCCCCCCTCCCTCCTCCTCATCCCTGCCCTGGGGGTCCCTGGCCTCCTTCCCTTGTTCCCCGGCATTCCTTGGGGCCTGAAGCTTTCTCCTCCTGGGCCCCCGCAGCCCTGCCCCCTCTCTCTAGGGCAGGAGGGCTGCTCCTCCATTAATGCTGGCCAGCCAGGTGGGGCTGGGATGGCTGTTTCAGGACCCCGGGCTCTGGGGCAGGTCCGTGGTGTCTGGGGGGTCTAGAGACGTCCACACGGTGTCTCTGGGGACTGCTGGTCGCCAGTCACCCGCTAGGCGAGGCCCCGACACTGCGCCTCTGCGCGGGTGGTGCCGCCCGGGAAAGGTGCACCTTCCCGCTGGGTGTTTACTAAAGCGCACCTGCCGCCCTGCGGCCACACCCCTCCACCATCCCTCCAGAGAGCAGGGGTCTGCGGGGTGCTCCCCCGTGAGAGGGCCTGTTCTCGTGGGACCTGCGACTGAACCGCCCCTGCCTGCCCTCCAAGGCGTCCTGGCTTGACCAAAATAGCCTCTCCTGACGCAAAGTCTGAGCGCTTCCCGTGGGCTGCGCCCCACGCCACCCCACCGCAGGAGCCGGTGCTGTTCGGGACGACCATCATGGAGAACATCCGCTTCGGGAAGCCGGGCGCCTCGGACGAGGAGGTGTACGCCGCTGCCCGGGAGGCCAACGCGCATGCGTTCATCTCCCGCTTCCCGGACGGCTACGACACCGTGGTCGGTGAGTGCCGGGACCGCGCCCCGCCCGGGCCTGCAGGGCCCTCGCGTGCGGCCGGGCCAGGGCACAGGGATGCCGGCGCCGCGTCAGGACGACCGGCCTAGACCTGGGCTGTGGGGACAGGGCAGTCCGGGCACAAGCCGGCCGCGGGGACAGACACGCAGCAGGGACGCAGCCCCAGGCTGCGCCGCGTAATGAAGTTCCGGTCCGTGAGGGGCCGCACGCAGGGCGGGGCGGCGGCGCACACGCAGCCCCGGCGAGTCTCGGGCTGGACCGTCCAGAGTGCACAGCGCCGCGCTTCTCAGAACGTATTCTGCCGTCAAGTGATGTGTGGCCGTACAGGACCGGCCGGGGACACAGTGATCCCGGGCGTTGGGGACCTGCAGAGCTCACCAGGGGCCTCTGCGTGCTGAGGCCCAGCCGGAAGAAGCAGTGGGTACAGTGTCGTCGTAGTCGTCCATCTCCCCAGCTCCCGTGCCGTTCCCTCCCTGCCTTTTAACGTAGAGGGGTTTCCCGGCCGGCCGTGGTGGGATCGGCGGGGCGCGCAGGCCCCTGTCTGCCGTGCCCAGGATGGGGTTCTGGTGGTTCTGGAAGGCCCCCCAGGCCGGCGCCGCGTGGCAGTGTGCTGCACGTTCATCCCGGAGGTCTCCTCTCCAGCCTCTGGGGCCGTGTGCATCTCCCGGTCTCTGGCTCTGTGGCTGGTGTCCCCACACACCCACCGCAAGGCACAGGCAGAGCTGAGGCTCTCGGCTGCTCTGGACCTTAGGCCTCCATCTGGCGGAGCTTCCTTCCACCTCCCGAGCGGTGCCCTCGCCTGCGGCCACCCAGACCCAGCTGGCCGCCTCGCTGCTTGCACTCCCCATCTCTGGGGGGGTGCTTCCCTTGCGCCTCTGCCACCCGTGTGCTCTGGGCTTCCGGAGCCTTCATTGTGGCCCTCGCTGTCGTGCGGCCGTGCGGCTGCCGTCACTTGGAAGCCCTTTTCGCTCCCAGGCTGCCACCCCTGCGCTCTCCCCAAATGTGGTCTCCCTGGAATGCCCAGGTGGTGGGCATCGAATCCACCGTACCTGCACACCCTGGGACCATGCACCTGGGCCCTGGGTGTCCCGTCCTGGCTCTGACACCCTGAACCCCACCTCGCACACAGCTCAGGGCACCGTGCACGAGCGTGTGTGCGTGTGCCAGGGGACGTGGCAGCCGGTGCAGACGTGCTGACGGGCGGTGCCCCTGCCCTCGCAGAGGCCAAGGGAGGACCCCGAGGGGCCCGACGGGGCATCCCCAACGGGCCTGGTGCCCTTTGCAGGCCCCACCCCCACCCCCGTGCAGAGCTGAGGGCTGCTTCCTCCCCAGGCGAGCGGGGCGCCACCTTGTCCGGCGGCCAGAAGCAGCGCCTGGCCATTGCCCGTGCCCTCATCAAGCAGCCTGCGGTGCTGATCCTGGACGAGGCGACCAGCGCCCTGGACTCGGAGTCTGAGCGGGTCGTGCAGGAGGCCCTGGACCGCGCCAGCGCCGGCCGCACCGTGCTGGTCATCGCCCACCGGCTCAGCACCGTGCGCGGGGCCCACCACATCGTCGTCATGGCCCACGGCCGTGTCTGCGAGGTCAGCGCGGGCCTGGGGGCTGACGGGGTGGCTCGGGACAGCTTGAGCCACAGACACACAGTGGAACTCTGTGCCGGACTATGGGAGGGTCTGGCCTGGCCCTGGGGGCTGGGGGCCACCCGCTGGAAGCAGCACCCCCTACGGGTGCAGGACTTTCTGCCCTCAGATAGACCCTGGCCCCTTGGGGCGCCAGAGTGCCCCTCTGTTCCCTGGGGCAGTAGAGCGCCCGGGGGCCACAGGGAAGTGCAGTGTGACAGGCCGGCAGCAGCACCCAGAGGCTGGGCCCTGGGTCCGCAGCGGGGCTGGCAGGTGTCGTGGGGCCGGGCTTCCGGCCCCCAGCCACCTGTTCGGGCAAGAGCTGAAGGGTTTGTGAGGGACACCGGGGCCTGTGGGCTGTGTAAAGGGGCCGGAGGCCAGCAGGGAGGCGGTGTTTGCACACACAGATGTGCCGGCGGCGTCTGCAACCAGTTGTGCTTTGGTTTCATAGTGTCCCTGGCAGGAAGTCTGGCTTTGGTGACAGTGAGCCTGATGGCTAATAGGAAGCCAGCCCCACTAGGGCCCTGAACTCTGAGCTGGGCTGGGTGGCCATCTGCCCCTCCTTCCTCTGCAGGCGGGGACCCATGACGAGCTCCTGAAGAAAGGCGGGCTCTACGCGGAGCTCATCCGGAGACAGGCCCTGGCCACCCCGCACCCCCAGGCGCCCAGGGGCCCTGGGTCCTGAGAGCACTGCCCAGCGCAGCGCCCGGGGCTGAGGACTGCGCCCCAGGGGTCCAGCGTGCTGGCCGTGGGCTGCCCCCTGCACACGGCGAAACTCGGGACAGGCACCCGGCTGGGCACGGCCCGGGCCCCCGCTCTGAGGAAACCACAGGCGGGGCCAGGGAGTTCTGCCCTCGCCCGGGCCAGACCTCACCCGCCTAGGCTGACTCCCTGTGGCCCTTCGTCCCCACTGCCTCCCGGGGTCTGGGGAGGAGCCCCCCACCCCCACTCCCCAGCCAACCCCTTGACCCCACAGTCCTTATTTCTAGAGTTCACCCCCCGCCCCATCCAAATGGGGCCGGGGCCCGACAGGCCCTCGGGCAGCAGAGGGGGCAGTCTTGGGCCAGCCTGGCCCGGCCTGTCACCTGGTGAGATCGTGGACAGCCCGCTCTACCGAGGACACCAGCTTGGAAGGGAGCCGACACTCCTGGGACTGCGACAGCCAGGGGGACACGCAGTACCCGCTGCCCCCAATCACAAGGGCGACAGTGATGCTGAGCCCTTGGGCCGGCAGATGCAAACCTGGCTGGGGAGGGGCAGCCACCGCCACACCGGGCGAAGTCGGGACCGGAGCCCCGCCTCGGAAAAGGACTGTCCGGGTGCCCGCACCCGTGGGCCTGCGGCCCTGCAGCTGCGAGTGAGGACTGCGAGTAGCCGGTCTCCCCGCAGCCCTCCTGACTGGCTCTGCCCTCGTCACCCCTGCCAGGCTGACCCGGCATTTTGGGCAACTTCTGGGGCACAGAGGGCGCAGCCACAGAGCGAGGGCGGCGGCAGTGGCGGGAGAAGCAGAGCTGCCTGCTTCTGGAGGCCAGTCCAGAAGAGGCAGCAGGGGCCCAGGGGTGAGTGCAGGCGCCGAGGGAGAGACTCCACAGCCCCTTCCAGGTGTGGCTCAGGACCCGGCGCCACCCCAAATGTCCCAGGGCCACAGCTGCCCTGCTCTGCTGCCCCGCTCTCTGACCAGTAGGGGAGAGGCCACACCCCAGGGCAGCCTCGGCCCAGGACGAGGAGTGTAGGGCCGACTCTGGGTGTTTTCACGCTCAGTGGCCAGTGCACCCGAGGGCAGGCCTTCAACAGCCCCCCAGGTCCCCACCGGCCTGCCCGGCCCCTTGCTCGGGAGAGCCGGTGGGGTCAGCTCCTGCTCCTCAGACCCTGGCCCGGGCCTCCGACACCAGATTCCAGGTCTCTGTGCCCCGTCAGGCCGGTTTCTGTGACCCCTGCCCCCAGCTCCCCTGGGGGAGCAGGAGCCATGGCGAGTCTTCCGGGGGAGGCCCTGAGGCTGGCACCGTAGCCTGAACCTCGACCTTGGCTCCTTTGGCTCTTCCACGCGGATCCTGAGCCTGGCTGTGCTTCCTCTTCAACGCTCGTCTAAGAGCTTAAATGGGCCCTGGCAGGTGGCTCAGTGGGTTAGAGCATCGTCCTGACACACCAAGGCTTCGGGTTCAATCCCAGGTCAGGGCATGTCCGAGAAACAACCAGCGAATGAGTAAGGGGAACAACAAATCAGTGTGTCTCCCTTCCTCCCTCTCCAAATCGGTTTAAGAAAACCTTTGTAAGAAGTTAGAGTGGGGTCATCTGTGGTGAACTACGAAAAGCCCGCAGTGCCGCAGCCTCCCAACGTGGTCGTGTCGTCCTGGCAATAAACCTCGTCACCCACTCACTCTGTCTGAAAAGTGTCCCTTCGGCGCCCGTCGTGCCCTGAGCCCCCGACGGGCTGGGTGGTCCCTGCGTCCTGCCTGAGGGGGCCTGCCGTCTCGCCTGGACGGACGGGCAGGCAGGCGACTGCAGCACGGCGTGACTGCGCCGTGGGCCCTGTGTCTCCTCCTCTCTGCCGGGGACCCACCCGCGTGAGCCCTGCGGCCTCCAGTGCTTTGTGGAAAGCGATGGAGCGGAGGCTGAGCCAGTCCCTGGAGACACACTCACTTTCTCTCGGGCCCACAGTGCAGCGTCTGCCTCTCCGTTCCTCGGCCCCAGAGGGGAGTGGTGGGGGGCCAGGTCCCGACACCACCCTCCACGGGCCTGTCTGGGCCAGTTCCTGTGGCCCTCGGCTGCCCGGCCTTCCTGCTGCTGTCCCCTGTCCCCTGGGCCTTGAGTCCCCGAGACCCCCTCATCCCTCTCCGGAGGCACCTGCCCCAGCTGCTGGGAGACGGCCCCACTGCAGCCGGGGGCACCCAGCTGGTGCAGTGTCTTCCTTTACAAAAGCCCCTCACTGAGCAGATGCACTCCTGTGTTACTGCTGGGAGCACACCCAGTGTCACTCCCACAGCCGGGGGTTTTGTGGCACCGAATGTACCCACCGTCTGGAATGGAAGAGTGGAAATCCCCAGGGCTCCTCAGGGGCCTGGTGACGAACGGCGTGGCACACAGCCAATCAAAGATGGGGAAGTTTCCTAGCTACTGAGTGCCACACGAATATGTCAGTGAAACAAGATGTGACACCACTGGGCGCCCAGGGCGCACCTGGGAGCTGGACTACATTACCTGGGAGGGGAGAGCGTGAGCCCACCATCTTTGTGATGGAGGCCGATCCCCCAGACAGGAGGGCCTGAGGAGAGGGTCACTCGAGAGACAGTCCCCCAGGACATGGGCCCTGCAGAGGCCCTGGTGGCTGGAACGCCAGGGGGCTCAGCAGGAGGCAGCCAACGCCAGCCACACCCCACCACCTTCCAGCCTGGTCCAGAGCCAGCTCCACCCCAGTGATGAGGTTAGCGAGAAGACAGGAGACGGGGAGGAGGGAGGAGCCAGGCCGAGGGCCTGCGACTGACCCTCGGCCCCGCATACAGGGGCTGCAGCTGGGACACCAGAGACCCCAAGGGCCCCCCCAGCACTGACTACCTCTGGGCTCCCCTGGAGCCCAACCAGGGTCACTGTGGTTTCCAGCTGGCGCCTCTGGTTTCCCCAGCCACGGTCCCCACCCACCCCCCCACCCCGTGCTGCACTAATGGCTCAGCCTGGGGCCCCAGGGACCTCCCCGCCCCCCAGGCTGCTCTGCCAGGCCCCTTGCCCCCTCACTGCTGAAACCCAATCCTCTGCAGCAGCCCTGGCTCAGCAGAGCTGCAAAGCAGCCCTGCTTACCACGCCGGCTGGGCTGCGCCCTACCTGCTCTCCGCCGCGGAGCCCCCAGGCCCGAGGAGCCGCAGCCTGCTCCTGGACAAGGCCAGCTGGACCCGCCGGGTCACCCCATCCAACCCAGCCAGGCCAGTGCCTCCCTGCCTCGCTCTCGGGCTTGCCCCCTCTCCTCGCCTCACACCCGCACTCCCCGCTGCCTGGCCGGCCCCTCTGTCCCCGAACTGACCCTCTCTTGCTTCCAAGCCTCTGTAGCCTGGTCACCAGTCCTCTCCGCCCCCTCTCCTTGACTCCTGCCATGAAGCCCCCCTCAGGGCTGGAGGAGGCCCGGCGGCCGGCCTCGGACATCCGCGTGTTTGCCAGCAGCTGCACGCTGCACGGGCTGGGCCACGTCTTCGGCCCGGGCAGGCTGACCCCTCGCCGGGGGCTGTGGGCCCTGGCCGTGCTCCTGTCGCTGGCCGCCTTCCTCTACCAGGTGGCGGAGAGGGTGCGCTACTATGGCGAGTTCCACCACGAGACGGCCCTGGACGAGCGCGAGAGCCGCCAGCTGGTCTTCCCGGCCGTCACCCTGTGCAACATCAACCCCCTGCGCCGCTCGCGCCTCACGCCCAACGACCTGCACTGGGCCGGGCCCTCGCTGCTGGGCCTGGAGCCCTCGGAGCACGCGGCCTTCCTGCACGCCCTGGGCCGGCCCCCCGCGCCGCCCGGCTTCATGCCCAGCCCCACCTTCGACATGGCCCGGCTCTACGCCCGGGCCGGGCACACCCTGGAGGACATGCTGCTGGACTGTCGCTACTGTGGCCAGCCGTGCGGGCCTGAGAACTTCACTGCGGTGAGCCGGCCGCCGGGCCTGTCCCGCCGGACACCCAGGAGTGCCGGCCAGTCCCTGGGCAGGACCTGCCGTCCCAGCCCTGGCAGGGCAGGCTCCCCCAAAGCCAGAGAACCTTAACACCCCCGATCCGGGATCTGGGACCCTTTCCTTCCCAGCCAGGCTGCAGGCCCCCACCCCACCAGTGCCTTTCTGTTCAGCCCCGGGAGCTGTCTTCCTGGGGGCCCGCTCTGTCACTCAGGTGGACTACGGTGTGGAAGGTCACACCTCCCAGCTTGGGGCCTCACCCCGGCAGGCTCTGGGCCCAGCTCTGCTCTGCGGAGACCCTGCTACCGGGGGTGAGGGACCACCGGTGGGATTGCTCCAGGGCCGGAGACCCCGCTCTCGGCCGAGGAGAGGAAGGGGCTGGCATTCCCTCTGCCTCCTCAACGTCCTGCCGGTCCCGGAGGACGGCAGCGGGGACCCCCGCCTTTCACCCCACTCTCCAAAGAAGGCCTGCCCTGCGGACTGTGCACTTGGCTGGAGATAGCGGGGTCAGGGGGAGGTGGAGTGAGGGTGTGAGACTGCATGTGCCTGTGGGAGGGAGGGGCTGGGGGTTCGAGGAAGAGCCCCCGGCAGAGGACGGGGAGGGGAGCGGTCCCTTGGCCCTGCGTGGGCCTGGCTGGGCCTCTGCCTCCCCAGTGAGTCCGCCCCGGGTGCCCGCCCCCAGATCTTCACCCGGATGGGTCAGTGCTACACCTTCAACTCGGGCGCGGACGGGGCAGAGCTGCTCACCACCCCCAAGGGCGGCGCGGGCAGTGGGCTGGAGGTCATGCTGGACGTGCAGCAGGATGAGTACCTGCCCGTGTGGAAGGACGTGGGTACGGGAGCCCGCGCGTGAGGCTGGGGGCGCACGGGCGGGTTGCGACAGCTCTGGGGAGGCGAGGAGAAGGAGGGGGCAGGCAGGGGGTGGCCCACCGCGGCCCTGGGGAGAAGGGGCTGAAGCCAGGGTCTCCTGGGACCCAGGCCTCGGCGCCCCTTCCCCCCGCAGAGGAGACCCCGTTTGAGGCGGGGGTCCGAGTGCAGATCCACACGCAGGAGGAGCCGCCCATCATCGACCAGCTGGGCTTTGGCGCCGCCCCCGGCTACCAGGTGTTCGTGTCTTGCCAGCAGCAGCAAGCATCCTCCCCGAGCCTCCCAGCCCCTCCCCTCCCAGGGCCCCACACCTCAGCCGCCCCCCAACTCTTCAAACGCGTCCGGAGGTCTCTGCCCCTCCCCCACCACACCCCCGTGCCCCCGTCCCAGTGCCGGCTCACGTTCTCCCTGGGTGCCCACCTCTCCCCAAACCCTCCTTAACCAGTGTCTCTGCAGCTGAGCTATCTGCCACCGCCCTGGGGTGACTGCAGCTCAGTATCTCTGGACCCTGACTTTGAGCCGGAACCCTCTGGTCCCCTGGGTCCCCCCGGCCCCAGTCCGGGTCCCAGCCCTCCCTATAGTCTAATGGGCTGTCGCCTGGCCTGCGAGACCCGCTATGTGGCTCGGAAGTGCGGCTGCCGATTGATGCATATGCCTGGTGAGGGGCTGGAGAGCGGAGCAGGGGTCCGGTGGGGAGGGGCCGCAGCCTGTGGGGGGGGCCTGAAGCTGTCACTCATACATACACACCCCTCGCCCGCCCCACCTCCCGCCAGGTGGCGCACCGGTGTGCAGCCCCCAGCAGTACAAGGACTGCGCCAACCCGACGCTGGGTAAGGGGCAAGCATCCCCGCCACCTGTCCCCACCCGCCTCAGCTTGGGACCCCCACCCCACCACGGGGGTCGGGGACGGTCCTGATCCAGATGTCTGTGGCCCGCAGACGCCATGCTGCGGAAGGACGCGTGCGTCTGCCCCAACCCTTGCGCCACTACGCGCTACGCCAAGGAGCTCTCCATGGTGCGGATGCCCAGCCGCGCCGCTGCCCGCTACCTGGCCCGAAAGTACAACCGCAGCGAAGCGTACATCGCGTGAGCCCGCAGAGCGGGGTCAGGGGGCGCGGGACCTGGGAGGGGCAGGTGCCCTCCTCCAGCTGAGGGCGCGCACCCGGGCGGGACACCAGTTTGCACGTCATCCAGGGGTTCCGGGACTCTGGACAAGCTGCCTGACCTTTCCGCCACTGCGCCTTCCGCAAACAGGGGTGGTGCCGCCCCTCTCAGGCCTCTTCAAAGGAGTCATTGGCCAGAGAACGTGCACCCGTTTCCTGCCAGCCAGGGGGTGCACAATGGACATTCCTGCCTCTTTCCCCCCAGGGAGAACGTGCTGGTGCTGGACATCTTCTTCGAGGCCCTCAACTACGAGACAGTGGAGCAGAAGAAGGCCTATGAGGTGTCCGAGCTACTCGGTGCGTGCGGGGTGCCTGGGGACCGGAGGGCTGCACAGGTGGCTGTGAGCTGACCAGTGGCCCGGTCTCCGCAGGTGACATTGGGGGCCAGATGGGGCTGTTCATCGGGGCCAGCCTGCTCACCATCCTGGAGATCCTGGACTACCTCTGTGAGGTGGGCGTGGGACCCCCGCTGAGGGAGAGGGAAGGAAGCAAGCTGAGGGACCCAGGCGAGGGCGCGCGCTGGCCACCTCCCCCCCTGCTTGCCCCCAGGTGTTCCGAGACAAGGTCCTGGGACACTTCTGGAACCGGAAGCGCTCCCCGAAGCACTCCAGCAGCAACCTGGTAACAGCCTCCTCCTCCCCTGCCCCCTCTGCCTGGGTTCTCTGCCCGCCCCCGCCCCCCCAAGCCTAGAACACCCTCCCTTCCCAGCTGGGCAGAAACGGGGCGGGGAGGGGCACGCAGTGCCCTTGGCCGGAGGACCCCTCCCCTCCTCTGACCCTCTCCCTCCTCCCGCAGCTTCAGGAAGGGCTCGGCAGCCATGGAAACCAAGTGTCCCATCTCAGCTTGGGCCCCAGGTAACATGAAATGTCCCTGTAAGGTCAAGGGAGGAGGGACAGGTGCAGTCTAGAGCCCAGGTGGCAAACACAAGGCCCGCGGCCCGAACCCGGCCCTCCACCTTGGTTTATCCGGCCCGGCACCTTGTTTCTACCCGGCGGCAGTGCCGAGCTCTCGCCTAACTGTTGAGGAGCAGTTACACTGATACAGTCCTAAAGTTACACTCGGCCCTTTGAAGGCAACCGCGAGGCTGATGGGGCCCCCGGTGAAAATGAGTCTGACACCCCTGCTCTAGAAGGTGAAGTTCAGGTCCAGGAGGCCAGGAGCAGGGAGGCGGGGCCGAGGCCTCCCGTGCTAGCACGGCGGCCGGCCGTGTCTCAGCAGGCCTCCCGCTCCTCCCTGCGCCGTGACCAGGACCCTCTCCGCCTCCCACCGCACCTGCTACCTCGTCACCCGGCTCTAGACCGGGTGTCCGTGTCTCCGGGCCAGGCCCTGACGTCTCGGACAAGCCCCTGCCTGCGTATCGCTTTGTCATTTTCATCCCAAATAAAGTTCTAGTGCATCAGCCTGAGCTGCTCCTCCTACAGGCAGGCTGGTCAGGTCAAGGTCGGCCAGCCCTCCTCGGGCACAAGACCTCTGCCGGCCAGCATCTAGAGGACACGTGGGGGGTGGGGGTGGGGCTCCCAATTAACCTCCAGAAGGCTCTCTGGGACAGAAGGGCAAGGACAGGGCGTCGGCCATGTGCACCTCAGAGGGAATGAGTTTGTCAGGGTGACATCTCGGAGAGAACGGTCCCCCTGTTTGGGGGGCCATGAGGGAATGGCTGGGAGAGGGCTCTGGCCCAGAGCCTGGCAAGAAGTGGGGAGCCGGCAGGGAGAAGACACAGGCTCTCCCACTTTTGTTGAGAACTCAGGCCTTAGACTGTGACTCTTTCCCACGTCTGGGACCAAGCGCCAGCATGCACCATCGCCATGGGGACGACTCTAGCTTCCCCAAACTCCCCTCAGCGGCAGAGCCCCCAGCCTGAGAGAGTGGGGGGAACCCCCTTCCCACTTCTACCAGCAAGGGCTCACCCAGGCCCCAGCCCCGGCCCCCTCTCCCTGTCCTCTGCCTCCATACCCCGGATATTATGCCAGACAAGGGGGCACAGAGAGGTGGCCCTGATCCAACCACGTCTCTGGGTCTCTCCCAAGGCCCAGGAATGGGGAGGAAGAGGACGGAAGGGACAGGGCGGGCAACCAAGGGACAGGCAGAACCACAAGGAGGCGCCGGCCCTTTCCTCCAGTTCGGACACCGGCCGCCTGATCCCTAGGACAGTCTCAGGCCCTCGTGGGCAGAGGGCATGTGCGTGGCACGTCAGCACCCGTGTGGGCACAGCGCCACGCTGACCCCGGCCTTAGAGGGGGGGGTCCAGAGCTGCCAGCCCCCAGCCTCGCGCCACGTGGGGGAGCGCAGCCGGAAGCAGGGCTGCACGGGCCGTGAAGTGGAGCACAGACCCCTGCCCGAGCCCACCCCCCGTCAGACTGAGCCACCCACGACCACACCAGCCAGGCTGTGGGAAAGGAGCCAATTTATGAAATTAAATAAAGTCTGTGGAGGGAGACCGAGCCTGGGCAAGGGCGCCTCCGCCCCGGGGGGCCCCACACAGCTGGGGCTCGGCACCCTGTGTGTCCTTGCTGCCCCTCCCCTCCGGGAGGGGGCTGAGAGAGGCCCGGCCCGGCCCGGGGGCCAGGGTCCCAGGGTCCGGGGGCGCCTAGGGCGGGCAGAAGTCGGAGAAGTAGGGGTGCTGTAGGGCCTCCTCCGCCGAGATGCGCTGCACGGGGTTGCACTTCAGGAGGTTCTGCGCAGGGAAGGAAGGCCGGCCGGCCGGCCGGGGTCAGGCAGGGTCAGGCAGGGTCAGCTGCCTGAGCCCCGCTCCCCCAGTCCCTCCCCTGCCCTTGGTCACCTGCAGCAGGTCCCTGCCCGTGGCGTTGAGCTTGGGAACGACGTTCACCAGAGACGTCGTGGCTGGGTACATCGGGTAGGGCTGTGGGGGACGGGGGCAGTCAGACCAGGGCTCTGGGGCACGGGGGCTGCTCGGGCTGAGGGGCCGCTGGCGAGCCGTGAGCCCCCCATGCTCGTCACACCTTATAGTCCGGCAGCTTGGTCATGGCGGGCCACTGCTCCTCGGTGGGGGTCCCCAGCAGTGTGTCCAGAGGGTCAAGGGTCACTCAGCAGTGCAAAAGGTCAGGGGGAGGGGATCTTCTTCTCCCAGGAAGGAGTCCTCAGTTTATCCCCCGGGTCCCAACAGAAGCAGCCCCAGCACACGGGACCCCCCTCTGTAGTCCCACCAGCATGGAGGGAACCGCAGGTGCGGCGCTACGGACACACCGTGAACTGCCGTGGCCCATGCCGTAACGGCCGTGGCTCGGAGGGCCGGCTGGCCCGCCTTCCTCGACCCCCACGGATCCTCCCGCTGACCCTTCTGGCTCCCTGCTCCTAAGGAGTCACCTCCCAGCTGGAGGAGCTGCCTCCTGGCTTCTTCCCCGAGGGGTCCCTCCTCGCCCACATGGCACACGCTCCCCAGCTGGCTGCCCGCCGCTGAACTGCGACAACCAGGGGTGTCCACCCGCCGCGGCCCTCCGTCCGCTGACCCCCAGGAGCCCACAGCCCCTTGCATGCTGGCCTGGCCAGCCCCTCACCACCCTCGCTCCCTGCTCTCAGAGCGCCTGCACGGCTCGCCACTCCCCTCGCAAAGGGCTCGGGGGAAGGATATCGGAAGATCCTCTTCAGCTGGTCGTCCACGTCATTGCCGGGGAACAGGGGCCGCCCCGCGTTGGCCAGCTCTGGGGGGGAGAAAGAGGAGGGGAGGGGAGCCGGTGCGTGAAGAATCCCTCGTTCCGGCAACACCCATCCCCCGGGGCCCTGCTCCTTGCCCTGGCGGGGACCCCCCGAACCCCCTCTGTCCGCTGGAACGGGAGGGGAGGCCCTCCGCAGACCCCCAGCACGTCACCTGCGAAGATGCAGCCGGCGGACCACATGTCGATGGACGTGGAGTACAGCTTGGCCCCAAAGAGGACGTCGGGTGGGCGGTACCATAGCGTGACCACCTGGAAGAGACCGCCCCCCGCAGCAACCCCCCACTTAAGTGAGGGCCGGGAGGAGGAGGCTCAGGGAGGAGAGAAGAATGTTCTGGGTCCCAGAGTAGGAGCTGAGAGACGCTCACTGGGGGGGTCCCCCCTCGCTCCAATACCCTCCCCCTGCCCCCAGCTCACCTCAGCCGAGTAACAGCGGACAGGAATCCCAAAGGCTCGAGCCAGCCCGAAATCAGCCAGTTTCAGCTCCCCGTTCTGCGGGCGACGGGAGGGACGGTGAGAGGGCTGGCTCCTCGCACCCATTTTCCCACCCAGCGCCCTCATCGCTCGGCTGCCGGCCCCAGCCTCCCCTGCCTCCCTCCTCCCCCTCCCTGGGAGGTACCCTGTTTATGAGCAGGTTCTGGGGCTTCAGGTCCCTGTGCAGCACATTGCGGCTGTGACAGAATCCCAGGCCCTTCAGCAGCTGGAAGAGGAACGACTGGGGGAGGGGCGGGACGGGGGCATCAGACCGTCTGGGTCGGCAGCTGTGCCCAGCCCTGGCTCACACCCCCTCTTCACCCTCTGCTTTGCCCCGAACCCGCCTGTCTCTCAGCACCAAGCTCTGTGACATATCCTCCACGAATTACCAAGAACTTAATTTGTATTACGCTACGTATTAAAAGTGACCAGTGAATGGGGGCCCTGGCCCCCACCTTCCTGGGACTTATGACCTACTGGGCCTTCCTACCTTCCCAGCCCACACTGACACCCCCCCCCCCCGATCTGGCCTCGTTGGAACGCGCATCAAACCGTCCACATGCACCTATATCTCGCTGTATTATCATTTAGCATTTTTTCCCCTTGGAACCTGGGGCCAGGCGCTTGGTCTTGGGCCCAGAACAGCGCGTGGTGCCCAGCAAAGCATTCAGTAAATATTTGTTGAATGAGTAACCTATCTCTCCGCATCTCCTTCTCTCATCTCTCAAGCGTAAATCGTTATCGCCGGGACCAGAGCATTACTGTCAGGTCAAGGAGATCATGGGAAAAATGCTTCTGGAGAGCAGACACAGGACTCTCCCAGCCCTGGACGCCCAGCGCGCCCCCGTTCAGGGCCTGCCCTTGGTGCTCGTGGAGCAGGCGCGCTGGGCACAGGCTGCACGCACCCCGGGCCTCAGTGGGCCCCTCCCCGGACTCCAGCCTCCTCACCTTCACGATTTCTGGGTCTAGGTCGCCATTGCAGCTGTCAAAGTATTTCTTAAGGTCCTAAAAGGCGATGGGGGTGGGGGGACGCGACAGAGTTCAACCTCAGTCTGGGCTCCTCCCATGCCCTCCTAAGGCGACTGTCCCCAGGGTCCCCCTTGTACCTGGTCACAGAACTCAAAAACCAACGTCAGCTTCTTGTCGCTGTGCAGGACGTCATGGAGCCTGGGGAGAAGGGAGGGCTGAGCCAGGCAGACCCACGGGTGCGCTCCTAATACCCCCCCGTCAGCCCAGCGCCGCTCGGAAGCCCCCGCCTCCCCCAACGGGCCGCTCCAGCAAGGAGGACCCTGCCCGTCCACACACCTGACGATGTTCTTGTGCTTCAGCTCTTTGAGTAGGCAGATCTCCCGCAGGGCCGAGCTGGGCACTCCCTGCACGTGGGAGGGGGCGGGGAGGGCACCAGTCACACACGGCCCACCCAGCCTAGGCCCTCACCTGCCCCCCACCCCCCGCCCAGAAGCCCCCGTCCTACCTCATCATCGTCGTCCAGCCTCACTCGTTTCAGAGCCACGATCTCATGGGTCTCCCGGTTTTTGGCCTTGAACACGGTCCCATAGGTGCCTGGGGAAAGGAGGTTACCGGTGAGGGGAAGGATGGGGCACCCTTCCCCACCCCACGAAGCCCTTCCCTGGAGGGGAAGAGCATCATGGGAGAGTGTCATTTCTGATGCCTGGAGAAGTAAGGGAAGAGGGTCAGGGTCAAGGCCGGGTGTGGCAGAGCTCTGTGGACCGGGACGTGGCGGAGCAAGGGGCCTGCAGAGGCGCCAGGGGGTGAGCAGCAGGGACAGGCTGTGGCTGCCAGGTAGGATCTGTAGGGAAGGCAGTGCTCTGAGGGGCCGGGAATGGTGAGCAGGGGTCTGGGAGAGGGATGAGGCCTGGCAGGAATGTTGAGGTTGGACGTCTGCTGCCAGAGCCGAGGCCGGGGGTGGGTGGGGTTCTGCAAGCGGCAATGAGGCTGGGGGCAGGACGTGCAGGAAGTGCTGCGGCCCCAGAGATCGGGCCTACAGGGAGTGCTACGTCTGGGAGGGGACTCTGCAGGAAACGCCAACGGGAGGTTTGGTGTCTGCACGGGGTGCTGAGCTCGGGGCGGGGGCTGCAGCAAGCGCTGAGGTCGGAGTCCGTGGGCATTGCTGATGGTAGAGGAGCCAGAGATGCAAGGAATGCAAAAGAAGATCTTGCGAGAACATCTCCTGGTCCCATTACCTTCCCCAATCTTCTCCAGTTTCTCGTATTTCTGCATCGCAG